CATATTTCTTTCCAGGAAACATAATTATTTGGATATTACAGACTTGGAAAACACAGTGTTACATATTGAAGATAATGTGGATTCACTGTCGATGATATTTGACTCTTTGCCTTACCTGTGGCCAATTTCATGAGTGATGGTGATCCCCAGGTCAAAGCCTGTGTCCTCTGTGATCACGCAGCTCCATTCACTGGAGCAAGCCCCACCCAGCTGTGCTACCCCCCTGACCTGCTTGTTCCCATCAGGCAACACCAGGTCATACCTGTTTGTGATAAACATATAGTAAAGCAATTGTTTATTCATAAAATACAAAGTAAACATTGACTTATACATACAATACAGCTACACATGGCACACCTTGTAATGTACAACAGTAGATCAGCGTGTAGTGGGTTTGTATCGTTTGAGGGGTTTATCCTTCGGCCCCAAGTCACACACACTTCTGAGAGAAGAGGTAATGTTGGTCGACATTTGGATCTCTGGCTAGAAGAGTTTAACAGTGATACACAGTGATAAAAGTAAGATACTGATCATACAACAGAAAGGAGGTTATTTTACTGCTCACATTCAAAGTCACCCTGGATAACAACATTGGCTTATGAATGCTCAAATTACAACAACAGCTCTAAGACTACTTCTCAAATCTGGCCAATTATGAACTTTTAGGTTGAGTGAGTGAGCCGCTTACCTCTGGCTCTGACAGGATGATCATGCGGACCAGGTGCACCCTCATGTTGGCACCCAGGGTCATGTCTCTCAGCAGCTCGGAGGCCTGGGTGGAAATTGGAATATAAGTCAGGTTAATACATCTCAGGATGTTCAGAGTGTACCGGGACTGTAGCATTGCAGCAGAGTCTATACTTCTGGTTATGTAAGCATTTCAACATACTCGGTGTTTTTTTCACCACTTTATCTGAGCTGAAGTTGAAAGTTTGGTCATGTAACGGTCACTGGAGAAATCTGGACTGTTTTAAGGTCGGGGGCCTATGTTTGGGCATGATTGTGACATCAAAGAATTTATTATTAATATAAATTCTGGTACCAGGTATGCAATTATACAGTGTGAGTCCACCAAGTTGCCATACACTGAGAATGGGACTTTACAGTGAAGTTAGGGAGACATCTTGCTGTCCAGCAGGAAACTTGTAGAAATGAACAAAATTTGGTCATATTCTATAGGGTAATATGGAATTTGAATGTACGTACGATGTTAGTAAAAGTACGTTGCCATTTTTAAGGCATTTAATACGGAATAATATAACGTATTTTTTGCATATTCAAGACACATTGGGTCTGGGAGGGCGATCTTTAACATACGACCACTATTTTACAGCACAGTAAGGCTAACATAAAGCCGTAATGAAGTAAATAATGGGACTGTAGCAAATTAGGAGCAAAAAAAATGTTAGT